ATGTTTTGATGATAACAAAGTGATGACCTTGAGTGACTAATATTTGTCTAAGTCATTTAAGGAAGAATGTGTTCAAGATGTAGAAGGAATAAAGATGTAAAAATATTTTATTAAATAACTTCTACAAATGTGTAAAATTGAGACAAGTGTAACACGTGGTAATTAGGATAGTTGGTGTCTACATTCAATGTCCAACATGTTGTGACGAGCATCTTCGTTCTTTAGGTGTTCACAAGTCCAATGGTTGTTTGAATGTTTCATGCCTTTAATACATATATTCAAACGTTCAAAAAGGATAACTGATAAACACTATGATAATTTAAGGATGTTATAAATTTTACTTTTCCCTTTTGTGATAGTGCACAAAATGGTATAGTGCATCTAAACCAAGTGCAGAGTCCAAAAAAGGAAAGTCAGTCACAAAGAGAATTATCAATACATACAACATGCTCAAAAGTCTTTATTCTCTACTTCATTCCCTTATCATGTCAAAGAATTTATGAAACCTTAAATAATTTGAACACATGTTGAAGAATGACCATATTGTAAAGATCAAATATCTCTTTTCAAATGACCAAGTACAAAGGCTTTCACTAATGAATACATCTCAAAAGCCTCTAAATATGAGAAGACTTAAAGATAAAAGAAGAACTTTGTGAATATTATATAAATTTCTCTAGGTGCAAAAACACTATTAAAATTCCTTTAAGTCTTATCATCTTGTAAACCATCATCTAGTGCACGATTAGAGAAATTAAGTTTTAGCTATCCATATCTATCATGTTTAACCTCTCTCGAGTGTACCTAAACTTAAACCTTTGTTGATGTAAGCCTAAAGAGACTAGTCAAAGAATATTGCAATGTGTTTATTGGCCAAGAGTGACATAAGAAATACTTGTTGTAGTCAAAAGTGGTATTGAAGAATACTTGTAAAAAGTTTCCAAGTTAGTGGAACCCTTTGAGTTTGAAGGTAACTGGATGTAGCTCAAGTTGAGTGAACTAGTGTAAAAATATCAAGTGTTTTTATTCTATCTTTTTTCCCTTACATTCTTTGGATGAACTGCTTTTACGAACTCATATCTATCCATTTGCGAAAAGATTTACAAAATACACTCATACACATTCAACCCCCTTCTATGTGTTTATTTTAACCTTCAACCAAAGCATATCCACATGGATTTGGTCACCACCGAAACATACTACCCAATATAACACATTATGGTCAAATCTTAGATCCCCTTTGCCATCAACATATACTTTCCAATTTCGCACAACAAAAAATCTTAAGCAATATTGACTCCTTTATAACATCCACCTCTTCAAGACCAATAGAAAAGGTAAGAAACAAGCTTTCTTCCTTTTCATCTTCTATGAAGCTTCTAATTCCAACTTAGTTATACACCAATCCAAAAGCAAAATTGGTCATGGAAATATGCACAAAATTGTTCTCCTAAATATGTGGACAAAAATAATAGTACCAAAACACATAGAACCTACAAAATATTTCTGTAAAAAATATTGGTTATCATAAATATTGAATAACGCCATCCTTATTCACATGAATTCACATGTAGTGCCAACCCACCCACCTCCATAAGAACCAAGTTGAGATCACCCTCACTCAAACAATCCTGCATCCCCTACACATTATGGATGTTTAAAGAAACCATGTTTTGAAAGCAACAATATAGACAATTAACAATAGACCCCATAATAAGTGGTCTCCCTCCAAACAATGCTTTACTCAAGAATGCACACTCTTGGATTTAGGCTCCATAAAACAAAGGGTAAATTGAGTTTTTGATTTGAAGTTTTCAACCATGACCATGTTTGGAAGAGAATTTCCTACATAACTACATCCGATTGAAGATCCTTGCCCATGAAAATAATATTGTTTCTTATGTTCCAAGGAACCCAAACAATATAAAACCAAACATATATGCATTTTCTATTATATGAAGAGCTTTGGAAACACAATGTATGTTGCCAATAATGTTGAGAAGTTGAGGCTAGTAGCATTAAGTGCAGCTCTAACCAAGAGGACAAATTTTTTAAACAATATCGACCTTGTTGCACTAAAATAGAGTGTGCATGACATATTCCTCATTAAGTTTACAAAAAAAATATTGAATCATAGTTAATTAACACCACATTTCTCTGTTTTAGATTATCAATAGTTGGTAGCCTATTTGTCAAAAGCCTCCAAGCAAAAACAATAACTTTTGATGAATTTTGACGCTCCAAACATGAGAAAAATGCCATCATAAGAGTTTCCCATGTGAATATCAAGGAGTCAAGTATACATTGTGTAAACTCTTGAACTTTGGGCCCTCCACTCCCAAGAGTCCTATACTTCCCTTTGTAGTTGTATATCTTATGGAAACCTACTTTCCAAGGATCCCTTTGGGAGAAATAAAATTAAGAAGGGTGAAGGATGATGAAGATGGTTTGAATAATTGTAGGGCATTTACCCTTATTTTGTAGGATAACCTACCTTTGGAGGCCTATCTTACCTTAAAGGCCTCTTATTGTTGTTTTACATTTTTCTTAGTAGTGATTGTATAGGTTATTTTTGACTTTGTATTTTGGGTCAAGTAGTATAGGAATTTTTGTCCTTGTATAAATTTTCGTTAAGGGTCTAATTAGTAGTTAGGGTAGGTGTAACTAGCTTAAGCCATAGACTTATTTGAGTTTGGATGGCCCAAACTTTTCCTAACCCATTAAGATTGGACATCCACTTGCCTAAGCAAGTGGTTTGGACGTCCAAACCTAGTCAACAAGGTCATCCAAGTTGTTAAATAAGTCACATGGCTTTGATAGTGACATCTCAACAAATTTGTTAGAAAGTAATCATTAGTTAGCTAGTTGTCATGATTAGGTTAGGTAATTGGAGTAACCTAGGTTACTTCTAAAATAGAATTAGCTTAGCTTGCTCCATAAGTTTCTAGAAGGATAACTAGGGTTGGTTAGCTTAAGTACAAGATAGCTAACCACAATTACACTTGACCATGGTTAGTCTAGCTTGCACCATAAGCCAACCAAACTCTTATATATAGGATTTCCTTGTATTGGTTGAAATTACTTTGGAGTTTAATGAATTAGATGCATTTTTTCTAATCCTCTCTCTCAAAGTTTGTTTCTACCCTTGAAACTTGCTCCATTTCTTTTATTCTCTCTTTAGTATGGTGACATTTGGAGGGACTTATCACTCCATTGAGTGTGGTATCATTAAGGGGGTCCTCCACCCTTTCATGTGTGTTTGAAGAAGGCTTCTAACACCTTTGGAAGCTTTTGGAAAAGCTAGGAGGAAACTAAGAGGAAAAGATCTGTGCAAAGGAACTTGGAGGAGAGCTACATCAGTCTAGTCTCTCCAAAGGGTTTTCCATCAATATGCTTCACCACCTGTAAAAAAGAATCTACCAAAGGTCTCTCCCACTCAAACCACTCCCTTATCCACTAAAAATTTTGCCTCCACTCTTCCCCAACCCAACCACCCATATTTCTAATGAGCTCATTTTTTGTAATGAGTTCAAATAAACCCTTGGAAATAAGTGTACTAGAGGTCGATCACCCACACAATAGTCTTCCCAAAATGAAATTTTCTCTCCCTTTCCCAATTTTCATCGTATTAGTGAATTAAACCATTTTGTTTCATTTAAGCCACCACAAGACAAGCTAAGGTTTCCCCACGAAATGGAAGATGATTTAGGACCTTTTCACTCACAAGTCCCCTCCAACCCCTGTATTTAGATCCCAAAATGTCACTTCTTAAGGATCCCTTCTCAAAAAATAATTCCCACCTCCATTCAGCTAGGAGTGCATTGTTAAAGGTGAAAATATTTGTTGCCCTTAGCCCTCCATTTTTCTTTGGTTAACATATATTATCCCAACAAATCTTCCTCTCCCCCTCCTTACTACCCCACACAAATTATTTGTATCTTGACTATCTTTCCTCCCATTTTTTTAGGCACTTTATAAAGAAAAATAAAACAAAAGCAAAGAAGAAAAGATCAAGTTTATAAGATACAACCTTCGGCAAAAGACAACACCATATGTTAGTGTGATAAATAAATGTTCAAATCATTGTTTAAAAAAGTTTTTATAATTAATTAGTATCTGAGAGTGTCTCAGACAAAATTACCTCAACTTATAGAAGAAGAAAAAATGTGTGTCAAAACATAAAACACTAATATTTTTTCATTAAAAGTATTTTTACTTAATATTTTACTGTCAATAATGAGCTACATGAACAAAAAATTTGTGCAGAGTCAAGAAACACATGAATCACACATTCAATTATATCACCAAAACTAGTATTCTTCTCCCATTCTTTTGTTTCAAATGAATATAATTTTTAAAAAATTATTAAGTAATATAAGACTATTATTTGTCTACGATTTCAACTAATGTTTACATACTATATATATGTGTCTATTTTTTACAATTTATAATACTAAATTACATGTTATATAAAATTAATAGATATTATGATAATTCAATACTACTTAATATTTCATGATTCAAATTCATGAAAATTAAAAGGAAGTGTACTTAAATATCATTAAAAAATAAAAGTTAATAACACTCCCTAACACATTCTCTTTCTTTGATTAAAAACTAATTAAAAAGATAATAGTAAAACTCATCAAATTTTATGTAATATAATAAAAGTATAGGGGTTTAAGTTAAGAATAAATAATGAAGTAGGTAATAAAAAAAAAGTATGAAACCATTTTAATTGTAATATGAAGGAAAATATTAATCATTAAAAAATTCTTCATTTTAATTTTTCTTATTTTTAAAAAAAAAAATTGAAGGATGTAAGAGTGGAATAGAACTTCAAGAGTAAAGGCGATTATGAAGAAGAAAAGTATAAGTATCCCTTTGTACAAGCCAAGAGCTGGTTAGCAAGATCCTAAATTAAAAATTAAAAAATAAATAAATAGTCATTTAGTGGGTCCACTTATATGCTTCGTGTTTTGTCATTCGCACGTTAAACTCCTGGTTTGTTTAATACGTGGTGGCTACTGGCTTTCCAACTTGCACGAGTTTGATTTTGTGTCATACATTAAAGTCTATCTTTTGTTTCCTTTGGAACAAGAGTTTCAGTCAATCTCGGCAACCACAAATTGTGTTTCAATGGACGATAACATTCTGGGCCTTCTCAAACTTCGAATTAAAAGAGGTATTAATCTCGCAATTCGCGATGCTCGTGCCAGCGACCCTTATGTTGTCGTCAAAATGGGCGAACAGGTTTGAACCATGCCATGTCTCAGATCATATTTTCCTTTCATGCTCTTCATCTTGAAGAATTTTGGAAAACAACTGTACTTTTTTTAATCCCACCGTGTAAAAATCAGATTTTTTTATTTGTGGTATCGTGGGTTTTGTTAATGATATTTTATATTTCTTTTGGGAACATATATTTACAGAGACCCTTTTACGCTCTTAAGTTATTTGCTGGCAGACGAAAAGAAAAATATAATTTTTTTTATGGATAAATATCTTTCTTAGATGTAGTTTAAATGCGGTTTTATGGTGTTAATTCATGAATAAGAGACAAAATGTATCAGTGGCATGTATGATATAAATTACTTGAACTTGATGTCGTTGTCATGGCTACTGTTGCTTTTGTTGTACTTCTTGTCCTCAATTGAAGATTACTGGATTAGGAAGATTTTAACTGTAATGAAAGGATTAATTGTGTCCACACGACTATGCTAATGCAAAAGTAAATTGATTTTTCAAATGGCTTGTGAATTGTTTTTTCAAAAGTCATATTTTTCAAATGTTGGAAGTATGCTTCAAATTCATGAACAATTCAAATTAAGTTTCTTTCATTAGAAGGTGATATATATCTGTGAACTAACCGACCCAAAAGTTTAGCTGAATGTTGCAGAACTGTAAGAATAACTCAGAAACAGGGAAAATTCGCTAGAGTTGGCCTAGTGTTGATAGAGTTTGGATTATAAACATGAGGTCATAGGTTTTAGAACTTGTCCTCAGGACTAAGTGTAGGGAATTGGCTTATCATAGCCACATCATCCTCCCAAGTAATCATCCTCCCAAGTGGCTTCTTACACTGATTTCCCTTTCCATTGCACTAGTCACTCACTGAATGGCTTCCTCTTCTGCTTCTTCACCTTTCATCACATTGCTAAAACTTGTTCCAGTGTAAATGAATCCTCCAACTCTACATCCATACCCAGAGGCATTGTAGGCATTTTTTATTTAAGGTCTGTTTGGATAAACTTCTTCAGAAGTACTTCTAGAAGATAAAAATAGGAAGGAAAAATAAAATAAGTTTTTTCATAAATTAAAATTAGTTTATGCATAGCTGAATATAAGATTTTAAAGTAACTAATAAGAGAGAACTTCTACAAATTAGTTTATGCATAAGCTAATTTTAACTTATAGAAAAACATTTTTTTTATTATTTCTTTTATTTTTCTCCTCTTGAAATGCTTCTAGAGAAGTTTACTAAAATAAGTTCTTAGTCCTAATGGCTCTCTTCAGTCACGAAGGATGAAAAATAGGATGAATTCGAGAATATTCAGGAAGTTGCAACTCGTAAGAAGCTTCTCCCACCTTGGTAATAACTCGAAAGGGACCAAAATATATATGATCTAACTTCTGGTTTATACTCCTGTCGTAGCCATACTATGAGGTCTGAGTTTTAAATAAACCATTCCTCAACCTCAAAAGACATATAATCCCTTCTATGTTTATCTGTACTTTCCTTCATTTGTTCTTGGCCCTATGTCAAATGGAATTTCAACTGCCTTAGAGCTTTTAAGGGTATTTTTGGATAAACTTTTCCATAAGTACTTCTAGGAAAAATAAAATATAGGAAGAAAAATCAAAATAAGCTTCTTTATAAGCTAAAACTATCTTATGCACAACAACATAAGTTAAAAATAAGATTTTAGAGAAGTTAATAGGAGAGAATTTATACAAATTAGTTTATGCTTAAGTTAATTTTAGTTTGTGGAAAAACTGATTTCATTTTTCCTTCCTATTTATCTCTTCTAGAAGTACTTTTGCAGAAGTTCATCCAAACAAGTCCTTAGTCTCTAGACCCTGCCTCCAATATGGTTTGACTGGGTAAGCACTACACAAATATTAAGTCTAGTGAGTCCACTTACAAATGCTCCTGAACTTGACTCTGAATTTCATCTATATGTAACTGAGGGTATCTATAGGGAGGACACTGATTGGACCTTGTCCCAACAGCATATTAATAGCATGATCAAGCACCTTAATCCTCTCTTTCCTTTTAGAATAAACTCTATATTTTTGGTCATGGGATAACGAATCAAGCACCTGGCCCATTTTTATTTTGGGCTCTATCAGTATTCAGTATCACTCTGCATTTAAGCTTTAGTACATCATAAGGAGTTATTATTGACAAACATATATATTAGCCAACACTATAGCTTGAGACGCTGTGAAAAATTTTGAGGAGAAAGTTGAGTATAATTTTTGGGTTCTGTTTTCATCCCATTCCTTTTGATTTCAGTAATTTTTCCACCTTGAAGAAGGGGGGACTTGTATGTAATAAAGCCCATCTAATTAAATTTAGAATCTTGCTTCTCATTAAAAAAATCTCAATATAAATGCGTTTCAATCAAATTTTGCTGGAAGAACACTTTTTGTTATCTTTAAATCAATTGATCTGAAGATTAATCTCATGAAAATTTATGCAGAAGCTGAAGACTCGTGTTATAAAGAACAACTGCAATCCTGAGTGGAATGAAGAGTTGACCCTTTCTATAAAGGATGTTAAAACCCCAATACACTTGGTAAGTACTACTGATGCAAGCTGCATCACAAAATAATGTCATATACTAAAAAGAAATATATTAATCATCAGGCTTATCTATATTCATAAAGAGCCTATTTGGGTAAATTTCTCTAGAAGTACTTCTATGAGAGAAAAATAAGAAGGAAAAACAAAATAAGTTTCTCTATAACTAAAATTAGCTTATGTATAGATTAATCTATAGAAGCTCTCTGATATTAATTTTTTCAAAATCTTATTTTTAACTCATGGATAAGCTACTTTTAGCTTATAGAAAAGTTTATTTCAATTTTTCTTGTATTTCTGGAGAAGTGCACCCAAACATGTCCATAATCTGTGTAATGGAAATCAAATCATTAGTGTAGGCACTCTTGCATCTCCACTATGATGCATTGATTATACATGTAGATTTTTAATTAAGAATTGTTTATTAGTATATATCATACTATTAGATTAAACCTGCAAACACTATATTAATAGTTTAATTTTTTTTATAATAACATGGACAAGCCTGGTAGCCCATGGTAGTCCTACCCAGTTCAAACAGAATTATCTCAGGTAGAGGATACCTATTGCTTATACTAAAAACAAAGTTTAAGGCAAGCCTGATGATTAAAAAGGAAAATTCATTAATATATGACTTGTTTTATAGTGCTACCCCCCTTTATCTAGGGATGCAAAGAATTGACTTTTATTCCTCTAGGGATGTCATTACAGCACCAGAAGAATATTTCAATGATTGTTGATGGCTTTTGCATTTTGCTTTTGTCTGCAGACGGTTTATGACAAAGACACTTTCTCTGTGGATGACAAAATGGGTGAGGCAGATATAGACTTGAAACCATATTTTGAGTGTGTGCAGATGGGTCTGAATTTGACCCAGCTCCCAAATGGTTGTTCACTCAAGAGGGTTCAACCAGGCAGAACTAACTGCCTTGCTGATGAGAGCAGCTGCATTTGGCAAGATGGCAAAATTGTCCAAGAAATGATCTTGAGATTGAGAAATGTTGAGCGTGGGGAAGTAGTTGTGGAAATTCAATGGGTTGATATTCCTGGTTGCAAGGGCTTATCAGGGGTAGAACTTTAAGTATGTTTCCATTCATGTTTGGATAAATTTCTCCGGAAGTACTCCTAAGAAAATAAAATAAGTTTCTTTATAAGTCAAAATTAACTTGTGTATAAGTTAATTTTTGTTTTTGAAAAAGCTTATTTTATTTTTTCTGAGTAATTTAAGAAAAGTTTATCTAAATGGGTTCTGATAGGAAGCATTGAAACCTTGGATGTCAGCACTAGCTTATGTCAGTGGTAAATGTATTGTAATGAAAGCTTTGTGATACTATTGTTGAATGTGTAATCCTAAGTTGAGACTAGCTTTTTTACTTTATCTTATGGAGTGAGGCATAAGTAATTGCATTGTCGATAAATGACAATGCATGATTGGATTCATTATCTAAGTTTATTTGGCTCCAAATCACATTATTGAGCTTTACTATAGTTCAAGGTTTTCTTTAAAAAAACAAAATATTTATGATATGGCTTCATTATTAACAAAATGTCTCTATTTATGATAATCAATGATACTAAAAATAGACATCTTTAAGAGGTTAAATGAATTGAAGAACTCGTATGTTTAACATATTACAAAAGTGAATCATTTAACTGAACTAATTAATTTCGTTGTTTAATATAGTTTCAAAATTGTTAATTTAAATATTCTTTGAAGATTTTATAGTAATTTTTTTTGTATAATCAAAATTATTATCCAACCAACTTTTTACAGGTCTCTCTTAAATTGCCTTTGAGTATTTTGTACTACTAGGGCCCACTAATTGGTGGTGGGAATTGAGAAAACATATAAGTTTTAGATGTAAAGTCTCTTATTGTCATTATAACTCTTACCAATAAAAGAAAATGTATTCTCAATCAATGTAACTTTGTTATCAATGCAAATTTTTGTAAAAAGATAAATATACAATCTTCAATTAAGCTCCATTTATTTATAGGATCTTGCTAACCAAGTGCGCAAGCGTAATGGCTAGCCTTTTCCTTATTCATATGTCCATATAAAAAGTAACAACAATACACACTCTTTGACACATTATAATTAGATAAATTACATGTTGGTCATATAATTATCATGTTTCCATCATATCACTTGCATGAAATTCACCTAATAAATGTGTTGAAAATAGTATATTACTGATATATTTTAATATGATCAGAAACTAAATAGACATCAAAGGTTAACCTTTGACTAGATTTGCATCAATGTCCCTGACGATATTAATGATAAATTGCTGGTATTTCTTTGGTGGAGGGGTGTCATCATTGAGCTTCTCATATTCTATTCTTAGTTTCAGTATTCCGTTCTCAACCTTCAAGATGGCCTTGTAGCTTTTGTACAACTCCAACGCATTTCCTCCCACAGCAACATAAGTTATTATCTTGTTGGCTTCATCCATTATAACTTTTTCCTTGAATATTTCCTCTTTTCCTTCTGAGTAATCAATGAAGAAAAAAATCATAGGCTCTATTGGGATGAAGGACAAATTTAAGATAAATATACCCACCTCACTCCAAAACTTATAGTGTGAAATTATTAGATATGGTTTTATAGTAATTATTATAAAATTCAATGAAGTTATCATATATGACCATTCATATATATATATATATATATATATGAGCAAGCAAATTAAATAAGTTAATTAAAATGAGGAAACTAGATTTTTATTTATCTAAAATGTAAAATTGACAAACCCAACATGATCATTGTGTTATCAATAAGAAAAAAGGACATTGTGAATGGTTTTTGTTGATTAATTCATGGAAAACATTTATTGCAAGTTTGTAAAAGTTGAAGCTCTTTTATCTCAATTAAGAAAAAAAAGTTAATTATATGTTTATGTACTAATAATAAAGTAGTGAGAAAATTTTTTTCATGTCTAATTTTCTTTTTACATATTCTTAAGAAAATAGATTAGGAACTTAATTAAATCTTACAAAATGAACTTATAAAAGTGAGAATTATTTCTTATATACATTTATGTAACTTTAAGTTGATGTTTAACATATATTTCTCACACCGAGAATAAAGTGAAGATTATTTTTTACTTATATATACTATTATAACTTTATTATTAGTCGAGATGAAATCTCTAGTATATGTATCATCTAACATAAATAAAAGTAAAAGTAAAAAAATTATAATTTTGATACATAGTTAGTATAATATACTGTTACCTTTAATTGAGTATGATTTTAAAGCAAAGTCAATAATTTTAATTATATGAGAATCTATTATTAGATTTGTCAAAAACATTTATACTATTTTTGCTGTATGTTAAAAAAATTTAGGTCAGCAATAATCATAGTAGTACCAACATAATAATCACTCAACCAGTGGATGACATGCTCATGGTAAGAAACAAAACTTAGAAAATAAACATAACAGATAAGAAATGAATCATGCATGATTTGTATGTTTAATTAATTAACTGCATCACACATAGTAACAGTAATAATAATTATTGTGATTATAATAATAATACCTATGATATATTTCCAAAGCTTGACAGAGCCAGGAGTGTTCCAGTCACCTTCGTGAATCTCAACACCATGCAGCTTTTCACTGTGTACATTATTTGGAATGTGCTGGTTTTGGCTCTTGAGGAAGCTATAGAACTTCTCAGGACATGATTTGAGTTGCACTCTTTCCTCAAGGACACAAATTTGAGCCATCACTTTCAGATACTGCGTGCGATGTACTTTAAAAATTCTACACTACACTCAACTTGAGGAATTACTTTCTAATGTGCTACATATATATAGACAAGTTGAGAATGCATGCTGCTGTTCCCTTTATTATTTTTTATTTATACTTGAAGATGAGCTCTAATATTAGGAGTTTTGCCTTACAGTTTGACTTAATTTTAACTTTAAAAACTCGAATCAAACAAGAATATTATAAATATATTTCAATTTGTTTCTGTTTGAATGTATTATAAAATAACTAAACCAAATCAATATTATTTTGTGATGATTTGATTTGGTTTGAGTTTTACGATTTTAAAAACTTATTTATTTAAAAATTAAATAAAAATATGTAATATTTTTTTTATTTCACATTAATATTTTAAAGTTTTGTTTTTGACTAATTTAATTTAATCAAAAAGTAAATAAAGTCTAATCAAAGATTATTTTTATCAAAGATCAAACTTAAATATTATTTGAATAATTCGACTTTAGATTCAACATAATAATTATTTGTGCTCCACTCTTTAGTTAAAATATATACTATTATATTATTTGTTCAAGACACGTGTGCCAAAAATAAAATTAAAAATATACAAATATATATCAAAAAATTCGATCACTTTTGTATTTAGCACCAATTCTTATCTTATTATTTTATTGAAATGTTTCTTTAATACAATTTTAATTATCGTATTAATTTTTTTTTTTCATATACATAGTTTTCCACTCAAAATAAAATTATTTTAAATAAGTACCCAATTTGGTCCCTAAATATATGGAATAGGTGGTCCATAGGTTCCAAAAATATTTTTTTTAACATTTGGGTCATTAAATTTTAATTCCTTTATGTAAGTTAGTCCTTTCATTATAGTTATTTATTAATTTTATTAGTTTCTTGAATAGTAAGCAATTAAGTATTAGATTGACACTTATTTTTTCTTTTAAATGATTGTTATCTCTCATAATTACATAATATGGACTATATTGCAAGATTTTGGTATTTTTCAATCAACAACAAATACTTTGATATGCTTAAATATTTTGACCATGGGTTCTCTAGTTAAAATAGAAGGTTGTTGTTAGGTTTCATAAGTTTCCTATAGTTGGATTTTTTCTGTCTCAATTATCCTTAATTTCTTATTTTATTCTGTCTACATGTTTATGATTGTAAACCCTAAATTATTGAGTTTATAGTATAGCAAACTAAGTGATTTTTTGAAAGATTTCAAGTAATTAAGGATGCATCAATCGAATATGGATTATTTTGAAAGATCTCAAAATGAGTGATTGTTAATTATTTGCAAAACTCCTATGGTAGTGTTGGTGGTAATGGACTTTTTTGTTAAAATGGAAACAAAGCTCTATGTAATGTTGTATGCCATTAAGAGATAATACATGGTAACATGATAATAATTAACTGTTGTCTGATCATAAGACTAATAAAGTTAATAATTAAGTATAACAAAAAGACTAAATTGCATAATTAAATTAAAATTTAAGGATCCACATGTTACGAAAACCCTTTCAAGGACCTGTCTATCATTTCAACCATCTTTCAATAACCAAATTGAATATTTAATCAAATTATGTTTGAACGTTTAAATGATTCTTAATTTTCATTCTAAATTTTAGTTTAATAACTCACAATTTTATAAAATAATTTTCAAATCAAATATTATATTTACATTTAAAAAAATCACTTTTAGTAACTTACAATATTTAGTCGCTTATATAGTTTTATAAAAAAGAAATTTACCGTGTCATTAATTATTTATTGTTATATATATACGCTGTGCAATTTAATATATATATATATATATATAAACATAACTTTAAATAAATTTATATCATCATTTAATCACAAATCACAATATAGACAATTTAATAATATTTATTTATTATATGATAATGTAAGTTTTTCATCTAATCAAAAATCACAATATAATAATATTTATATTAAGAGTATGACTATTAAATCCATTTCTTTTTTTCTAATTTTTTATCATCTATACTAATATATACAGTAGATATCTCTTTTAATAATCATCTTAATCTCCATATTTTGTTCATTATTATAATCTTCTATTTTAAAAAATTAAAAAAAAATATTTTTTTTATTAAATTCAAGAATTTGAAATTAATGGATTGATCATAACTAATATTAGACCAACATATTTTTATTATTTAATTTTTATTTTTATATTGTTTTTAATAGAAACGCAAAGTATCTCAACTCATTATAAGTGTACTAAGAAAATCAAATAGAACTATCCAATTTAAGAAAATAAAAATTTGAACAAAACCATTAGTTTACCGTTTTCCATCTATTTTCTATTTTCCGTTTAGGTTGTTAGAATCAGCACCTATAGATGTTGAGATATATGAAACTGTTAAAGATACAATTACATAGTCATAATTCTATCCTCGGTACTCACTCGGATTTGAAAAGGCCTATGGAACCATAAAGAAGGTATAGTATAGAAGAGACAAGAGAATAATAACAATGAAAAAAAATAATAATAATAATAATTGGTCCATCAAATTTACATTACTATAAAAATTTGATTCCTAAAGTGGAAGGCAGGAAAGTCTGGAAATTTTCAGAACTTGGCTAAATTGCTAAACTTATATTTAAAGTTCAGTGTAATTCGTTAATTTTTATTTTTTAATCAACAATAAGATTATTGATCAAATTAAGTATTGTACCGGGAGGACCCTATCGGTCACGTTGACCAACACGTGCCGTTCCGTCAGACACCCATGCGAACTGGACCATACCCAAGGTTGACGTTAGCATCGGCCCAGCTGAAGGCCGATGCAAACGGCATGATGCATCCCCGCATCCTACGTATCGGCTCGGCCAAATGTCAATCCGATAGGATTACCAAGTAAACGTTTACCGACCCGGTCAACAGTCGAAGACATGCAACCTCCCAAGCATTAGCCTGTCGGCTCGGTAATGTGCCGATAGGTTAAGCGAATTATAGTACAAATCATAGTTAACAAGGACAAGCACCTAATTAAGACATGATTAGCTGATTAGCATCGTATTACCTAATTTGGTAAAGATTAGAATAGGCCCACCACGTTCAGGCCCATGTCAGGTATTATAAATAGGTCACACGCAACGAGGTACGTCACTGTTCATTTAATTATCCTAGAATATCGTGCTTGTCCTGACTTGAGCGTCGGAGTACCTTTTGCAGGTACCTCCCCCCTCTGACGAATCCGTTTGAAGTATCCGTTCGGCCCTTCTTACCAAGAAGACTACGAGTGTATCCTTGAGCAGGTACATTTTGGCGCCCACCGTGGGGCCGAACCGATAGCATTGCAGAAGCACTGAAAGTTTACGAGTAAAAGAATCATGGTAAAGACAAGGAATACTAATTTTGAAGGGCAACAGTC